TGGAGTTCCCAGGCTGGGGGGGCGTCTGGAGTGGGGGTCTCTTTGGGGGGGGCTTTGCTGAGCCCTCCTTTCCCCCCCCCACAGGTCTTGGCCAATGGTCTGGACAACAAGCTGCGCGAGGATTTGGAGCGCCTGAAGAAGATCCGGGCCCACCGGGGCCTGCGCCACTTCTGGGGGTGAGTGAGCGGGCGGGCGGGTGGGTGGGGGGCAAGGAGAGCCCCCCAGTCCTCTCTGGGCTTCCTGGAGGGAGTGGGTGGAGTGGATGGCCTCGGGGGACCCCTTCCTTTATCGGCCCCCCTCCTCATCGCTCCCCTGTCCTTTCCCCCCTCCCTCCCTCCCTCCCTCCCCAGCCTCCGTGTCCGCGGGCAGCACACCAAGACCACCGGACGCCGGGGCCGGACGGTGGGCGTCTCCAAGAAGAAGTGAAACCTCCGTGCGAATAAAATGTTTCCCACCCAGGTCTCTCTCCGTGGTCTCCTTGGGGGGGGGGGGCAGAGCTGGGAGTCCAGTGGCTGTACCTGTGTCGAAATCCCCCCCACACACACAGGACGGAAGGGGGCGGGCCCTGGGCTTTCCAGGTGGTCTCCCGTCCAGGGTGGAGAGCGCAGGGCTGCGCAGTGGTTGGGGGTGGGCCATTCGTTCTCCCCAAGGGGGCCGCTTGAGTGTCTCTGGCTGCTATGGAGGGCCGAACCAAGAGGATTGTGACGGTGCGTAGATACACACACACAAAAAGGGCCACTTTCAAGCTGAAAGCAACTCGGCTGTGTGTTTTGTGCACGGTGTGTATTTATTTACATTCGATTTCTAATTCCCGACTGACCTGGTGGGGACCGGACAGGGACCGCCAAAGACCTGGAGGTGGCCCAAAGGGGGCGGGCGTTAAATACCCAGGTGTGGTCCAGGTGGTCCTGGCTGGGGATGAGGGCTGCTGTAGTCCAACCGGATGGGGATACTGGGTGACGTGGTCGCCCGCTGTTCTCCGGTTCCTGATGGACTGAGCAGCTCCTTGCGGTAGTTACATGGGGGGAGGGGGCAGACCGCACCAGTGGGACTCTTGCCCGTGCCGCAGGCCTTGGCGCTGGCACTGGCTGTGTTGGCACAACTAACCAGGATTCAAATGAGATCATCCTTAAAAAGCTTGCTTGCAGCTGCTGGAAGCCAAGGAAGGGAGAGGCGGCATCGGAGGGGAGGGGGGCTGCCACGACATTCTGCCTGCCCCCCCCACCTTCCTTGAGCTCTTTCCCGACTTGGGGTGCAGGATCGGACACCCCCCTTTCCCCCTCCAGCGTTGGGACTACAGCGCCCATCATCCCCTCCAACCGCGGACAGGAACTGCCGGCTGTCTCTCCCGCCTTGTTCCGTCCCTTCCCCCCGCGCCTCCTTCACCGGCCGGGCAGGAAAACCTCCGAGTAGCCGGTCCGACCCTTCGGGCGGCCGCGTCTCGGCTTTCAGCCGGATCCAGTTCCGGGCTTTGGCGCGGCGCGGCTTCATCCGGCCTCTGACCTCCTCGGCGCCGGCTTCCCGTTACGGAGCGACGCCCAGGAGCCCCGCCAGCCGCCCATCCAGCGTCGCCCTGATTCCCGGGAAGGCTCCGAGCTCCGCGGGACCCCGCCGCCTTCGAGGGCCAGAGGCGGGCAGGGCGCGCCGGGCTCGGAGGCTCCTTCGGGGGAAGCGGCGCCGCCTCCTCCGCTGCCCGCGTCCCCTTCCCGGAGGCGCGGCGGGTCCGGATGCTGAGCCGCTCCCGGCGCCTCCTGCTGCCGGGCGAGGGCGAGGCGGCGGCGGCGGCGGCGGTGACGCTCCGAGCCGTCCGCAGCCGCAGCCCCGACGCCCAGGAGCGGCGCCCGCCGGACGCGCAGCCGGTGAGCCCCTCGGAGGGTCCCGGGCTGGGCTGGGCTG